TTAGTATAAAGAAAGTGCTTATATTGCTATGACAAACATGGCGGAGCAATTGAACAGACAGAATGTTGCATAGTACAACTCGTATGCGTGTCCCTTTGATAAGAAAAATGAATAATTCTTCTTTATTAAAACATCAAAACTTTCTATATTGTGTTTGTAGGACTCACTTTTTTTTCACTTCTGCTAGATTTAGCAATGTTCACTTGGAAACAATTTAAATGGAATATTGAGGTTTTCCAGGGAGTGTTTTAGTTGAGGTTTTGTCCACTTTCTTGTAGGTAATCTCCAACTGTAAGCATAGAAAATGCAGAAATATTTCCTTTTTGGACAATATGTCACATCTTTGTTATTTTGCATTTCGTATTTACAGAAATGAGAATATTGCTATTATATTGTTTCTTATGGAGTACAATGCAATTGATACTCAACTGTTACTTACATGAGCACTGTGATTAGCATTATTTAGCACAATACCATCAAGTTTTGGAAGTAGATTATTCTCAATACATTCCTCAAACATCACCCCATTCATTGTTTCATGGTACAATGGATACTACTATTGGTACAACTATTTAGCGATGGAAACACTAGTTCTGCATCATCCACATCCACTTCTCACCTTTTGCATGTAAAACTATGTAACGTTGCCCTTCGCTCAGATTCATTCTCACGCAGCTGAAAATACTTTTGTCTTACAAAGTCTTGGTAGCATAACCTTACAAAAAAAGTTGTACTAATATAAATATTAATTATGTGAAGAGCGCTTAATAAAGTACACACATATGTCTGCAATTACCTTTCGAAAAAAACAGATTCAGCAGTTCTGCTGTGAACATAAGAACAGATACTGCTTCCAGTCTTCCTTGTTGTTGCATTTTTTCTACTTTCCTCGCAACGGATATAATGTCTTCTTGTCGCTGGCGTGAACAACGAGGATGCACTTTGCGCCCACTCTGGCTTCTCATGGTTCACAATCGTATTACAATAAATACATACATAAAAAAAGCACGATATCACGGTAATCTCCCGAACACAGATCGCCAGTCGCCACTCAGCGCAGATGCCGGAAACACGTGCACCGTCACGAGAACGCATCTCACATTGAAGACTGGATTTTAAAACAAACATAATACTTATCTCATAAAAACTAAATTCAATGTAATTTTTATAAAAAGAAAGAAGAGCACGAAGCTCTGCACTTCCTAATTTCAATTGTAGCGCACTATATTTTCCTCGGACGAGGACATCACAGAAGGGGGCGTCGTAACTATTTACAAGTTAGCCAACTGCAAACAAACGAATGGAGGAAGGAGAGTCTAAGGAGAGTGCAAGGACACAACGACCACAGAATCGTCATTTGTGTTGCCAGCACTAGCTGTCAAATCATCCCGTTCATAAGAAAATCGGACAATAACTGCTCTGCTTACCAGAAGACGATGAACAAAAATGACTTGTCACAGAAAATATCCCCTTGGGCTAGGGAATATGAGGAATATTCTTATCCCATTGAGCCTAGCCCATTCTTGGCACAAGAATGAAGCAGGTGGATGCTTTAAGTCGCTGTACATCTGTACTCTTCGGTTTTGCGGACACGGCGCGGGAATCAGAGGGTCAAGAAAAGATGAAGGGTTAATATCAGTAAGAAATATGTTGAAAAAACCAACCGTACTGGGACTTAGTCGTCAGAGATGGACTTCTATTCAATTCCGTCGATGGTCAGGAAACTCTAGAACTCCTCGACAGACGAAGCAAGAAGTAAATAGGGCTATTTAGGAAAAAGGGCAGTATGCCGTCAAGAAAACAATAGCAGAAATAAAGCAATTATATTCCAGAGTTGATAGGTAAGGTAAAGAGATATCCATTTGTATCAAATGTTTAATAATCAACAGAAAATCAGGGAGAGAGGAAGGGATTCTCGATCGAATCTTTTAACGAAAGTGGCCAGCTCCACACCATTGGAGTCTCCATTCAACTAACAAAGGCTACAATCATAATCTAAGCAATATCGAGGCAGTTACCAAATTTACGTGACTTTACACCGTGAAAACGACGAAGACGACCGAGAGATGATGAGATACTCCATCAAAAAGTTGGAGCAGCGGAAAACGAACTTAAGAAATCCTGTTGAAATTATAACCGAACGAGGGACATCATTTACATACCAAGTATTCTAGGAATACTGTACGTCGGAGATCATTAGACCCATTCTTATAACAACGCGACTTTCTCGAGCTTATGGATAGGTCGGACGGATCCCATTGTAACATCCATCGTTGCGGAGCTGAGCATTGACGATCACACAAAATGGTGTCAGGTGTCATTTTATCAGTCCAGCGTCCCACCAATTCTACGTTCTAGAGGAGTTTCGAACGATTCCATTTGAGCTGCTTATAGGAGTTAAGATGCGCACTTAGTTGATCTGCATGTTGTTTGACGAAGAACTCATAGATTCCTTCGAAGAACAGTTCAATTAAAAGAGAAGAAAACAAAATCCAAATTCATATGGTACAAAAAGAAAATGGTGCAAATTTCTACCATCAAGTACCATCATTAAGTACACGGTTTGTAATTTAGTACCCACTAAGCGCATTCGGTTTGGGCCAAATCTGAAGCTTAAGGTGAAAAATCTCGGACCATATTGAATTAGAAAAGTTAACTAATGCTAAAACAGCATGTACTTTCACGTAAAAGTACGCGAAATGTACTCAAATTTTCGAAATAATATATATGACAGTAATTCAAAAACTATCTTTAAGGAACAGATTTTCTTAAGGGAAAATATCTTCAAAATTGTAGTTGTTAGATATTAAAACGAAAGAAATTGAAATCTTACAATTTTCTAAAAATTAGCGATTTCAAAGAACATGAGAACTGCACCATTCTCTTAAATGCCCTTCACACCATCCAACAACAAAATTTAATCAAAAAGTTTGGAGCCATTTTTTAAAAACGTGGGAGGGGCTTTATTCTGAAGTTTCCCCCAAAATTACTATGGTACATTGTATTTTTGAATTCTTAAAGTCATTATATATAAAAAGCTATTAATTACTAATGTTTTAATACAATAAACTATCGGGTTGGGAGAAAGTGAGACCTCGTTAGGACGAATGTTGTCGGAGGGATTTAATTTTTCTGGGCCTCAGCCAAGGTTCTTTTACATGCCACAAGAGTGACATGCTACTGTGAATTTTCCGCCCTTCGAAGCCAGTAAGCTAACCCCTCACCCACTGAGACGCGCTGTGCAATTTTTGTAAAAACAATATAATAGAGCGAAATGACGTCATCTTCTACAGCACTCTTAGCATTATCTCTACCAAAACTTAGAGAAAAATAGAGCCGGTTTGAGAAATTTGTTTTTGATATTATTTATTTTAATATTGAACATATTTCACTTGAAGTTGCCCAAATGCTACTAATATTTTCAAAAAAATGTGCGTGACCTTAATAAAAGAACTAATTATGGAGAACACATTTCATTTGAAGAAAAAAATCTTCAATATTGTAGTAGTAGGAAGACGCCTAAAAAATTAAAACGTTTGCAATTTCCGAAAATCCAGAGCTGACAAGGAAGAATCGGACATAGGTCATCTTTAAAAGTGTGTTTCAGTCTATTCCTTCAAGAAATTAATGACAAACTTTGAAGCCATTTTAAAGGAAAAAATGAAAATGTACCATGGGTTTCGTGTAATGTAACCCCAAACTTGAAAGAATGTTTTCAAAATCGCAGAGCTCTGAGAGGAACCAAGTCGATTGGGGAATATTTATTTTGGAAAAAAATCCTACCGATAGTTTAGGTGATAGTATTTACAGACTGACGGATATTTTACTGTAAACAGATTATTCTGTATCAAGGACCCACAAATCGTGAATTGTGACAACACAAAGTCTTAGTGCAAGTAATTTACTATATATTGGATCACGATATATCCACTTTTCCTGTATCAAGACCTTACAACACGAGTTTTTCTGCCGAAAAATCACCGTTTTTTGCCGCAGAATTACATAACAGTTTCTCTATACTACGTATATTACTCCGTATATACGTAGCTCATATACGAGAAAGGAAGACAATTCAGAATTCATGTAAAATAATTCCTAAAATAAATATACGTTTCAAACTCTCAGGGCGTTAATTTCGCCGTCAATTGATTTTAAGGTATGAAGGACCCACAAAACTTGTATGCTCACTACAAAACGTGTTAAAGGAAATAATATACTACAAACATGAAGATTTATCAACTTTTTTGTGATCAGGGCGCAGCATTAAGTTTTTTCTGTCAAATAATCGTCGTTTTCGAATTCATGATTACAATACTACTTTCTCTTCTTACGAAGTAAGGGCGAGAAAGAAAAAAACTGTATTTTGTCAAGAGTTTCACTCCGTTGCTGCGCGAACTTGTTGCTCATGATTTATCATTACCTACTTACAGAATACGGCGGAGCTCAAACCGGTCAAGTTTTTAAAAACCAATTCAAATTTTAAGTGATAGATAATAATTACTAAAATTTACAGCAAATGATAAATTCAGCGGTTTTGTAGGAACAGTGTGTTGATGGCCTATTACAAGCCCAATGTAGACACTGTGGGAATAAAAATTTTCAGATTCTCAAAAAAAAAAAAAAAAGTATGACAGCGCAAACCCAGGGCACGTTCGACTTCGGCTTGGCTCAATGTTCGCAATTCAGCGAGATGAGCGAACGGAGAAGAAATTGACTTTTAAAGCGTGCCTCGAAAAACGAGGAAGCCAACTATAGGCAAAATGGGCCGCCAAACAGTAACTTTGAAGTTGTATCTTACTTTATATTATGGTGCACAGAATTTATTCCTGGTATGTATGTATATTATATATATATATATATATATATATATATATATATATACACAGAGTATTTTCATTTGTGGAAAAGAGCATGGCTGACAAATTTTAAATGTAGAAGTTAGAACCAAACCTGAATTTATTTTCTTTTTATTATTTCCTTGTTTCTGATGTTTTGAATAGGAGATCAGCAAGTATGAAGATGGTTACATAGATTGCAATAATGACACAAAAAACAATTTGATAACTGAATTAAACAATATTCAGAGAAATATGATTCAAGAAATGCAGAGGACAGCAATGAAAGACATGCAGCAAAACCTCAAAGAAATGTACTCAAAATATTCAGAAAATTCAACCCCTTCAAAGTAAATTATAATGTGTTTCAGTGTGCTCATTTACAATAAATCAACTGTTTTTATGTGAAACATTTATTAGGAAAGAAGTTTCTTAGTTTTGTGCACAAAATGTTCCAAAATCACAATTTCTATACAAGAATGTTTTATAAATGTAATATAATGAAATATGCCATTTCAGTTTCCCTTATTAAATTAAGCAGAGATTGAAGTTTACATTAATATAATATTTGATTTGTAATAATTTTGTATTAATAAGAATAAGTGTGTACTACTAATAAAAATTATTTCTCCGTTCAAATATTTTCTTCATTTTTATTATTTCATGACTAAAGATGTTAAGAGTTGGTTGAATGTGTAATCTACTCCAGGTTCCACCCTCCATCGTCGGAAATGCGCGGTTAGCCGCCCGGTCTTAGCTCAGTCGGTTATACTACCCTTTCCTATTTAAAATTAGGTGATAGAAGGAATTGTAAACTAAATTCATGTACATATAAAGAAAACAATTTGGTTACTGATAAAAAATACATTTATTTCTGGACAATGCTGTACTAAGGAAGTTACATTGATGGAAAAGAAAAAAAATTGAAGAAAAAAAATCATTAAAATTAAATGAGAACTTACAACTAAAGAAAAGTGATACAAAATTATTCTATTGTTACAATTACAAATTTTTCCTTTAGGACCTTTCTGTACCTTAGCGCGGCACCGCTTTGACAATAGTTTCTAAGGGCTTATTGACCCTGATTACGTTGCCTGAGAACCCTCCGTGGCAGATGCGCTCAGTAGGCCCGGGGCGAAGCTTGGGCGGCGGATATCCTTCCCTGGAATGCGGTCAGTCGACACCCTACACAACAGGGCGGCTGGCGCCGTTGCGCGGTCAGGACGTAAGCGAAGGTCTCTGGAGCTGCTTCGGCATCGCCCCCGATCGCAGGTGCGGAGCACACAACAATGTCTCCCTCTGCGTATGCGATTCCTCTCGAAAAAAACTTCTGTAATTGCGAAATCCTGCAGCGAATACGCAGTGACAAAGGATTCGCCAATTCCCTTGTAAGTGCCTTTGCACTTCCCCTCGAATAGAAACTTCGATTGAGTGCCTGTCCCCGGAGGTGCACACCACCTCTCTCTAAAAATTCCTCTCCCTAAGTCCCCCAAAGGTGCACGCACCTCTCCCCGTGACTGGCTCCCGCCCTAGTGTCGATTTGTCTCTACCTCAGTACGAAGTTAACTTTCATCCCCCCCACCCTTTCTCCTCGTATGTTCGAGTTCCCTATGACGATCGCGTCGCTATTGGCCAAAGGTGATGGCTCCTTACACAAATTTTGGCCAATAAGCTCTGGCGGTTCCTGGAAATTTTCCATTCTCTGTTTCCGTCGCTCCGTGGGGTCTTTCTCTGTCGTTTCGAAAGTATGCCATGTCTCTGAAGGGGCTTCCCGACTACTGAATTATTATCTTGTGCTTCCCCGATCACGGTGATAGGCGTTTCGAAAACGTTCCGGACGGGGTCGCAGCGGAGCGCCTGACAATTCACCCTTTTCTTCGGCCGTCGGGGTGCCATGAACTGCCGAAGTGGGTCAGGGGGCTCGTGGCTGTTGCAAAAAAGGGGGGGGTGCGCGTGACGCCGTAGGTCCTTTCTCAGTGAATATTCTTCCTTAAATCTACGTTATTCTATTTAATTTAGTTAAATAATTCGGTACCGCTACAAGACACATTTTATTCTCCAAATCACGGATAATAAAATCCGGTTTATTTGCCGCTGTCATGCTCTCAGTTTGAATTGGCTGGTCGTACAATATTGTACATAGTCCAAAGACGTCACGTTTTGGAGAGTTTTCGTACCACTTGGAGCTTTTTTTGAAACTTCAAGGGCGTTACAGATTGCGAGGTAACTACGCGCCCTAACGTGTCTTTTCGCGCGTTGGGTGTTTGTTAGAATACGACAAGCTGCGACAATATGATCAATGGCGTCTACTTGTTCCTGACTAGTAGAGGGATCATTTGTTATCTTGGGAAATCTTGAGAATCGTTTTGGCATAATGTGTATGCCTGATCTTGGACATGTATTAGAACTGTTTCCGATTCTGGCGGTGATGTATTCATTCTCCCCTTTTAAGCTACATAAACGATCTTTGTTGACTTTGACCTTGCCCATTGCTACTAGGTATTGTCCATGAAGCGATGTGTCTTTCCATGATATTTTTTTTTGTTTTTTGTGGCTTACATTTCATTTTAAGCAGCATCAGATGATCAGTGTCTTTGTTATTCTGCGTGTCTTGCATAGCGTTCTTCAGAAATTTTACAATTCCTCTGTTTCCCATTCTTTTGTCAGATTTCATGACCTTCCTCATTAGTGGGTAATCTTGATGATTGACTACATACGTTTTCATCCCAACTATTGCATTCTGCCAAGAGGCTTCCGTTTGTCTGAGGCATTTCCTTTTTCCTTACGTGACACAAAGTCTATTTATATCAGCGTAAGGATGGGCGAGATGATGCAATACATGCAGTTTTCACATTCAAATTTCTTGCTCTGTCGAGTCCCACACTCTCTCACAAGACCGAAACTGTAATCGGCTACAGACATCGCCAAACTACCAATTGCAGATATTTCATTCCTGAAGATCAGAGCGGAAGAGAAAAAGTCTCACTTGTTTGTAATCCCCCTGCAAATTCTTTCTTTCATTATGTTGTTCGAGATGTTCTCATGTTCTTCAATGTCCATATATTTGTTTTACTTGGCTCAAGATTTTGAAAAACAGTGTGTATATCCAAACCAATTCTCTCTACGTCACTTTGCCTCTCTTTAAATTGACTTTTGCACATTTGTCAAGAGCACATTTCATGCAAATGCCATTGCTAAAATCATTGACGACAGACAGCATTTGGGAGAGCGTAGCTTCATTCTTAGCAAACACTTATACGATTATCCATGTAAAACAAATGTGTTACTGTTCTTTTTTCACCATGGAGTTTGTAACTTGAAGTCAGTGTGCGATGTCTCCGTAGTGAATTCAATGCAAACAAGGGTAGGGGATAGCGGTTCTCCTTGAACAAAATCCTATGTTGTGATCTGGGCTGCCCAGGTGACGCCGCGTCGATGGCTGATGTGCCGACGTTTCGACCGAAGAGAGAGATGGAAAAAAGAAATAAGAGTTTTTTTTTTTTTGGCCGCAGTTTCCCACCGTTAAAAGCCAGCCAATTAAAAAAAGTCCCCCCTTTTCTCAAACACAACTCGGCAAACCCCTCTTCGGAAAAATTCTCCTTTAAGAGAATTTTTTAAAAAAATTTAACCGAAGGGCCGCTTATTAATAAACGAGCAATTTGGTTTTCCCAGGGCGCACACACAGCAACTACCCATCAAGCTAGTGCGGCCATAGTAGATAGAATTTCGGCCGCAACTTTAACGAGCGGCGATCACTGGCGGAGTTTTTTCCTAGCACGTCGGCAGCCGCTTCGATAAGGTTTGGGCAACGACGGTTTCCCTCGCCAAAACTCATAGAGCAAACCTCCCGCTCCTACATATCGTGTCGCTGATTCGACTCCTTCCCTCGCGAACAGATGTTTCTTTCGCAAGTGATCGGTTCTGCACGCGAAATAACACAACGCCGCATAGCGGGCGGGCGTGCTCAGGGGCGGTGAGCAATACTCTGCCCTGTGGGTCTGATACCCTGTATGTGGCGCGACATGCCACCTCGAACCAAACCGAACTCGCCATGTACGCAGACGACTACGGCAAGTATTGGGGCCAGTCATAAGAATCGATCTGCTTGTTAAATATTTGGATGTCATGTTGTTTCAGAAGCAGGAGTGGATGCAGAACGCTGGCGTATCAAAGTGAACGTGGAAAAGAAGCAGGCAGTGCTCTTCGACACGCAATACAATACGACAGCGCGGCCGCTGGCGTATGGATTACAAACATTGAAATGACGCGCCAGTACAAAGTACCTGGCGTCAGCCTGGACGCGGCTTCTACACTTTCCGCGAACACGCGACGCGGCTCTAGTAAAGCATGGCAAGGCTGGGGCATGTTGGCGAGGCTTATTACATAAGCGAAGGCAAGTGTCACAGCGAATGCTCTGCTTTTATATAAAAGGGCATGAGGTTAGGCCATTATGGACTACGCCTGGCCCAAGGTTTTTGGGGAATAGGGGCGTGGCACATTAAAAAGTTGCAAGTAGTTCAAATTTGTGCGCTTGTAGAATACTGTGCGCGCCAATGTTCATTAGAATCGTGATTTACACGCTGCAGTAAAACTACCGCTCATAGAAGAGCACTTTAAAAAACTTAGCAAAAAACTTCTATTCAAAACTAAATACGTCAAATAATGACATAATAATAAATTTATCTTTGTACGAGCCGATCCCAGCGCACGTACAAGCGCGCGAGAGATATGCTTAAATAGGCGAGACGCCAAACTTGCATAAATTGCGGTAAACAACGCAAGCGCGCTCAGATGCAGCTATTGGTATTCCATGAGACCTGTTCTTTTCTTATTTGTCAGATAGCCATAGATGGTCGAAAGGATAGAATGGGCTTTACAGCAGGCAAGTGTGGCGCATATTGAATACTAGCACTGCGCTCCACGGACTCGCGCCTGCAAAGCACGTTAGTCGGGAGATATTGCGATTGACTAGCAAGTAGCAGCCCATGAAGAGGACCTAAGCGACATGTGCGGTCGAAACGTTCAGCACATAGCCA